TATTATTATTGTTATTATTATTTATTATTATTATTATTACTACTATTATTTTTGTTATATAGACTTCGGTATAACATTAGCCAGGAGGCTTAACAACAGCATTTGACTTCCCTGGCGGACAACAACACAGTATACACTGAAAAAGACATACAGTTTGTTACCCTGTTATGCATACAAATAAGCATTAATTATTTCTTTACTCTACACAAGGACCATACAACCAATGGACCTCCCTCTCTCTCTTCGCGGCACCGCGCAGAGCACGCCCAGTGGAACATACAGAATGGCGCCAAATACGGTCACCCAGCGCGAACTGCAGTCTTTTCTTTACAAAGAATAGTTATACATGTATAGTAGTAGGGCTGGGCAGTGGGCTACGGAATGGGAGGGAATATGTGCAAAAAAGAGGGGCGAATGTGGTCAGGCGGGCTAGGGGAAGTAAGATGGAGAGAGAAAAAGTAAGATAGATAGATAGATAGATAGATAGATAGATAGATAGATAGATAGATAGATAGATAGATAGATAGATAGATAGATAGATAGATAGATAGATAGATAGATAGATAGATAGATAGATAGATAGATAGATAGATAGATAGATAGATAGATAGATAGATAGATAGATAGATACAATGTCTGTCTGTGAACTTAATGTTGTGATCGACATGTTGACAAGTCGTGAAGCACAGTATAATATATATTATTACAACCTACCAGTTGTTTAAAAATCAAGAAAGCGCACGGGGGAGGGTGTTGGAGGTTAGGGGATGAAAAAACAAAAACAAAAACAACCAAAGACAAAAAATAAATAGTTGTCTTGCCGAGTAACAGAAGATTATTAAACAGACAGGGGAGTAAATTTTACTATAAGATACTGCTGAAGGGAATACATACCACAAATTATTGAATTTGACCCAATTGCATGATTCAAGGGGAGTGCCATTACTAGATTTCTTGTGTTATGGTGAACGTAAAGGACTAAAATACGTTGTCTTAAGTTTAGAAAGTATAGGTAAAAGGCCTTCACATAAGAAATTAAAGAGCAAAAGAGAGTCAACATCAGCTTTAACTGATAGCTAACAATGATGTCTTTGTAAATGAATTACTGAGCACAATAATTATTTTTTTTAAAAACACGAATGCACCCCCCACCCAATAGTTTTAACTATTGAAAAGGTTACTGTATAGCATCATTGATTTTACATCACCGTTACTACTTATTAGATTGAAAAATTTAAAAATGACGCGCATGAGATACACAGGAGTTTTGAGTGACTGTATGAAATTAAAACAGAATTTATTAAACATTTCCATAACTCAAATAAAGTTCGCATGTTTGGCTTTGGCTTTAAAAACCAAACGTGCCGAGTTCATTAAAATGCTTAAGTGTTGATGTCAATTCCTAAAGTAATAATAATTTTAAAAAAACAGAAACAGATTCTAAGCTGAAGAATATACCTACATGATTTTAATCGGGTTTTGTTTGTCTGTATTTAAACAAAAGTTAGACTGGAGTCAATCACTGTAGTGTAGCGGTCAGACGCTTGGCTGTCGCACATAATTAAAGAGGCTCGAGTTCTATTCTAAAGTGTGTAGAAATCTTAATCGAGTATCACGGTCTTTCTACTGGAATGTTGTAGGCCTCTCAGCCCGGGTTGGCCCTGACAGGCAAGGCCGGAAGCTTGCTTACTAAATGATCAGAACTTAAAAACAAATATTTAATACAAAAATTAAAATTCTACGCTTCACACACACACACACACACACACACACACACACACACACACACACACACACAAACACACACACACACAACACAAAAAGTTAGTATTCACTAAATGCTACCCTTTAAATACGGCAAAAAATCATAAAATGCGCTTGCATCAATAAGAACCACAGACTTCATGAACTGTAAATGGTCCTATTAATAGGTATTTTTATTCTTTAGACGGGATGTGCTTAATTGTTTGTATTTTTCAGTTTCATCACAGCTCCTCTTTCTGTGTTGAACTTTGCCATGTCTTGGAAAAGGCAAAGGTGTCCAGACACTTTTAGCTCCTGTTTATTAAGGATGGTTCCACAAGGACAATAATATTATTACAATACTCGAAGATTGGGGACATAAGCATCACCTCCATGCTTTCCAGGCTTTATAGACTCGGTACTCGGGTACACCAAAGTCTCTGTGGTTGGAGATGAAAATGTGGTTTACATACCTA